GTCCAGCTTGTCATGGCAGCTTGACTGTGCCTTCCAGGTGTTGGCAAAGCCGGCCCCCGTGGCCTCCACCAGCCCACTGGCCGTCTTGAAGTCATCACCTTCCAGGCCGTTGAAGTTCCCACAGAGGCCTGAGGGGCCAGGACAGGGTTGGGAAGGGTCTGGGGCTAGCAGGCCCCCCCGTGGGCCTTTGTTGGGGCAATCCCGGTGGGGACACTTACCCTGCACCTGCCCCTGGGAGGCCTGGTCCAGCGTCAGGAAGAGTTGCATGACTGGGGCCAGCTGCACCTGCAGCCGGAGGCCGCTGGCCATGCTCACGATGATGTGGTAGGAAGACGGGCGGAAGACGGAGAAGCTCGCTGCAGGCAGGGGCACGGTGAGGGACACGGTAAGGGATACAGCGAGGGGCGGGGCTCCCGGGGCCTGCCTGGCCCAGGTGAGCAGCAGGAGGATGTCACCCTCCCACCGCCCCCTCCAGCAGAGGACCCAGGAGAGAGCCTGCCGGGTGCTGCAGGGACCCTCCTCCCATGGAACCTTTCCACCCAGCCTCCTGGGTCTGAGACGGCTGGCCTGTCGGAATCACTGCAGGCCCAGCGGAGCTTGAAGGGCCTGGGCCCCTCCCTGGGGCACAACTCACCGGTCACGTGGGGCAGGTTCACCTGCAGCTCGTTGAGCAGCACGCTGCCATCAGACTTGAAGACGACCACCTGCGGGAAAGGCCGAGGTTGCTCAGGGCTGAGAAGGGCCCCCGCTGGGGGACTTGGGCTCCAGAAGGCGGGGGCAGCACCACTCACATTCTTCTTCTTGTCGGCCAGCAGCACCACTGTCTTCAGGCAGGTCTGCTTGTCCGTGGAGCCACAGGGGGCCAGCTCGCCCAGGAGAGCGTAGGAATCGTTGTGGTCACCCTGTGATGGGGCAAGAGGCAGAGCAGCAGCTGAGGGCCAGGATGGGCTGCACCCTGCACCCTAGGACCCGGCAGTGGCTTAGAAAGGAAGGCCTGCTTCTTATCCTCCAGCCAGAGAGCAGAAGCATGGTCACCTACCCCAGGACAGCCCACGGGCACCCTCTGCTTCAGGGACAGCCAGCCCACCCACCCCTGGATGGCCAAGGGCCTGGATGCCAGCCCCAGCTCTGCCCCATACCCCTGACCCTGGGCAGCCTACCTTGGCCAGGACGTAGTAGCAGTCCCCATGGAAGGTGTACGTCTTCCCATCGAAGGTGGTGATGTGGGAGCCGCCTTCCAGGGCGCAGGTGCCAGGGCAGGGCAGGTCTTTGCACACCCAGCGGCCAGCATTACAGACACTGTTGGGCAGCGGGGCACAGGGTCAGGGCTCAGCTGCCCCAGCCTCTGCTGCACTTAGCCCTGGCCCCAGGACTCACCACTGCTCGCAGCCATTGGTGATCTCCTGGCCCGGTGTGTACAGGTGTCCGTGCAGCCTGCAGTGGCACTGGCTCACGGGAATGCAGCCGCTGCCCCCGATGTCGTCATACACGGTGCCTGGGACAACCAGGGAGGCGACGTCACCCTGCCAGCCAGGCCTCCCACCCGCAGCCACCACTGGTCCCCTGCGCCGACGCCTGTGGTCCCCACCTGGTCCCTGGATTGGGGTCTGGCCATGGGGGCCCAGCCTCCAGGCCACCTTCCTGCCCCTGACAGTCGAGCTCCTCCCAAAGGCCTCCAGGCTCCAGGTCAGGGCCAGGCAGGGGGAGGTCTATCCCCAGGGTGATGACCAGGAAGGTAGCCCCCTTCTCAGCCTCCCTAAGCCACCCTTTGGGAAGGGCCTCACACCGAGGCCCCTTCTCCCTGGACCTGCCCCTGGTATCGGGTGGAGGGAGAAGCACTTCTGTGCTGCCACTGCCCCCACCACCTAGTGGAGCCGTCCCCTCGGCGCAGGCGAGAACCCGAGGCCAGAGCTGCAGGCCTCTCGTCCAGCGGGCAGTGCCAGGGCAGGGCCCTCCTCCCCACGTACCTTCCGGGCAGAAACAGCCGTCCATGCGGTGCTCCTCGCACAGGCTGCTCACCTCCAGGTGTGAGCAGGTGTCCATGCAGGGCGAGCCACTCTCCAGGTACACCAGGTTCCCAGGGCAGGTCTTGGCTGGAACCACAGAGGCCACACGGTGAGGGTGAGGCTGGGGCACAGCAGCCGCTCCACGCCGAAGTGCACCGAGAAGGGCTCTCAGCCCGCAGTGAGCGTCCCCCTGGCTCCCGGTGCCCGGCGCGGACACAACTCCCAACCGGGCTTGGGGAAAGCACCAGCGTGGGGTCCCCTGCCTGCAGGGTGCTGGGGCTTACGGCAGAACGTGGCAGTCCTCCAGTTCCCGGGCCGGCCGCCGGCGTGGGAGCACTGGCGGGAGAACTCGGCCACAGTACTGCAGATGCAGGTGTCACCGCCCGGGCACCGGCAGCGGTCCTGCTGGCAGGCGCGCAGATACGGCTCCAGCGGCACCAGGTCCTGGCAGTCCACGAAGGCCTCGGCGGTCAGCAGCCTCTCACACTCGGCGCGCTGGGGACAGACGCAGGGTGGGCATGCTGCTCAGAGGCCAGCTCCGCCAGGACCCCCCCCCCAAAATGAGGGGACTCACGTGCTCGGAGCAGGATGCGAGGGCCACCGTCTCCTCGGGGTCCTCACACACCACATCGGGCTCATTGATCTTCTGCATGTTCCCGAACTCCAGGGGACTGAAGAACACACCTGGGGACGCACGGTCCTTCAGCTGGGGCACCTGGGGGCCCGTAGCCCACCCTGCCCCCACCAAGCCCTCCGGGCCTCACCGTCAGAGAGGAATTCTGAATAGCTCTGTAGGCCGTTGTAGTCCCCGCAGAGGCCACAGGTGTGGTTCCGGAACTTACTGTCCAGCTCCAGCTGTTGGGGGAGGGAGCAGGTGAGCTGACCTCTCGCCCCGCCCACAGCCTCCAGGGCAGCCGCCAGGAACCCCCAAGACTCGAGGCTTGTTTGAGCCACAGAAAGGTGCGGCAGGAAGGCTGGGGTCAGCAGCCAGGGAGCGGCCTGGCAGGGCAGGTCCCTGAGAAGCTGGGTGTGTTTGGGGGGAGGGTGGGGCCTGGGGGGTCAGGGCCAGGCCGGCTTCTGCTGCTGCCCCCCAAGTCCAGCACCGACACCCCGCGCTGCCAAGGCCCTGCCCCACCCCTGCCCTCTCGGTGAGGGGTCCGAGCACTGCCCTCCCTGCCCTCCCTTGGGGTCCACCCAGAGGCCTGACCAGCCCCAGGAGCCCGGGAACCCTGAGCACCATGAGGGCGTCCTCCCGGTTCCACAGGAGGGTGAGGCCGGCGCGGGAGTAGACTTTGGTGTAGGCGTCGCTCTTCTCGATGAGCAGCCCGGGGCTGTAGTGTGGGGTGCTGACCCTGGCGGGGGCACATCAGGGTCACTCTTGGGTCCACCACCCAGGCACCCGCGCCCCAGCTTGTCCTCCCGGGACCCCGCCACCCGAAGGGGACTGAAGCTGGGCACCTGGGGTGGTGGAGGTGGCTCTGCCAGGCCCAGCTCCTGCCCTGGCGCCACCAACTTGGCCAGCCTCTGGGGTGGAGGGACATGGGCGGTGGCCAAAAAGCACCTGTCTGTCTCCGCTGGCCAGGCTTCCCCAGCAGAGCCACCTCCTGCCTGCACGCCCTCCTCTCCATTCCCTCCTCAGGGCACGGTCCTGGGCAGGGTCCCCTCTCAGAGGCCCTGAGGGCACCAGGTTGGGAAAGGAGGGAGGGCCAGGCTGCCCAGCCTCCTTCCAGGCCCCCTGCTTGGTGGAACATCACCCCATGGGGTCCCAAACCCCCACCAGACTGCCCCTGAGGCTATCAGGGGCCCTACACCACCTCCTGCCAATGCCCCTTGCTGGGCCAGGTAGAGGCACTCACCCCAGCCTCTGTGCCTCAGTCCCCAAGGGCCTCTACCCACCCACCCGCCCACCCCTGAGGGCCTCTACCCGCCTGCCCGTGCCTGTGCTGGAGCCCCTTGCAGGAAACTGAATCCCCAGGCAGAAGAGGGGCAGGTCCTGCGGGTGGGGAACCTGCTAGACAGGAATGCACTTACAGGGCCTCATTGTTCTGGAGACAATAGGGGAACAATAGCTGGGAGTGGGGAAGGGGCTCCCACAGTCCCCCCTGCACCAACTTCTGTAACTCTAGCCTGGGGTGGGCGCACACGGCCACTCCATGCACAGGACCAGAAACAGGCAGCCTCCAGGGGTGCCAAGGCTGTCCTGAGCCTGGTGGGCTCTGAGGGGAGGGGCCGTCAGGGACACAGGCAAAGGGGTAACTGAAACCCCTTGGCTATAGGGGGAATGGTGGGGGCTCATCAGTGTTTGTTGAATGAATTAGTGACCTGAACCCAAACCTCAAGGCTGTTCTCCTGAGCTGTGTGCCAGGGCAGGAGGGGTCTCCTAGGGCTACAAGGAAGACCCCTTTGGGGACCGTCAGCCCCCTTTGCTAGGATGTGGAAGGGGTGCCACCGACCACACTCACATGGCCCCGTTCAGCACAGCCAGGTGGCGGGTGAGGTAGATGGTGTCATCCTTGATGGTCAGCAGGATGGACTTGACCCCGGCGGGGGCCCCAGCCTGGCCCGGGCCCCGCTTTAGGTGCACGGCAAATTCCTTGTAGGAGCCTCGGCAATCGGAGGCGAAGTTGTAGTCGCAGAGGCCGGGGAAGCGGAAGATGTCCCCGTCGAAGGTCTTGTAGTGGAAGTCGCCCCAGGTGCTGCAGACGTTGTGGCCATGGTTTCGGGCTCTGCCCTCTGAGGGAACAGCAGTGAATGAGGGGTGAGTGGCCCCGGTGGGGGAAGGCTGCCCAGGCTACCCTCAAGAGGAGGGCCCTGCGGAAGCATCTGGAAGCAGCTTCCAGCCCAGCGCAGGGCCCCTGGCCAGGAAAGCTTCCTATCCGCGGACCCTCTGCTGGTCTTTGGTCACCCCACCACAGCGGTCTCAGGGCTTCTACTCCTGGCCTGGTGAGGAGTGTGGCCGGGTGCCCAGCGGGGTGTAGGAGAGGAGGTTCTGGACACCCCACTCCCCAGCAAGGGCTGTGCTGCCCCAACTCTTCAATGGTCTCTGCCACCTGAGAATGGGGCTTTCTGGTGGGGTCCTGGCCGCCCCTTCCTCCCCTATGGACAATGACGCAGTTCAGTGGGGCCTGGGCTGCTGTTTCCACCTGGTGCTGGCCCCAAGACCCACACTGTCATCGGGCAGTCAACCCCAGAGGAATGGCAGGGGAACCCCATCCTTCCAGCCCGTTGAAAGTCAGTAGGGCCGGGGACTGCAGGGGACCAACCCAGGCCAGGAGCCTCAACGGAGCCACCCATGCTGCTAGGATGCACACGGGGACCACCTCCTCCTCCCAGATGCCACACGCCTGCCCGCCTGGCCCTACCCCCAGGACACTCTGCCAGGCCCCAGACCCCTGTGTCTGCTCTCTCACCTGTCTGGAGCTCCGAGCCCCCTGCCACAGACAGGGCCAGGCAGACAGCCGCCAGAGGGGCTAGCGGCAGCCCCATGGTGGCTGGCAGGGCAGTGTGGGTTGCACCTGGGGGCAGGGGTCTGTTCCTTATATGTGCTGGCACGGGGGCAGGAAGGCAGGGGAGGGTCAAGGGGTGGGTGTGGCATTTGCCAGATGATCAAGAAGACAGCTGCAGGGGCCCGAGCCCCAGTGGGGAAATATTGATTCAGGTTATCAGAGGTCATCTCTTTATGGCTCCCTGGGTAAACACAGCCTTCTTCAGGATGAGGCAGCCCTGTGGCCTGAGTGCCAGCACACACCCAGGGAACACGTCCAGCTACTAGCGGGACAGCCCAGGGTGGCCGGGGGAGGGGCGTCCTGCCAGAAGCATGTCCAGTCAGGCTCCGTAGCCCCCCACGGGCCCCCAGGCCCCCGCTGAACAGGTCCCCAGGCCTGATCAGGCTCATGTTACCCTGGGAGGACCAACCCGTTTCCGGGGCCCAAGCTCTGGGGCAGTTTCCAGGCCTGACTCCAGAAAGGGGCCTCCCTGAAGGCAGGGAGGATGTGGGATCCTTCGGGCTGCAGGGAGGCCACTGACTTGCATGGGACTCTTGGCCAGGCTCACGGAGCAGTGTCAGAGGCCCCAGCCCCCAACCACCCTCTAAGCCCATCCTTTTCCCAGGCTGGGAAATTCCTTCTCTGGAATTACATGTGATTAGAACTCGGGGAGCACCTGCCCAGCCAGGGGACGTGTTACAGAATGAGGCACACCGGGAGCTGGCTGGTGGCCGGAAGTGGCCGTCTGCCCCTTCTCCCGGAGACCACATGAGGACCTCGGGCCTGAGAGCTGAGGAGGTGATAGCCTGCCCAGGCTCCCCTGAGCCACCTCTCCCTCAGGGTGAGGGTCCTGCCCCTGAGGCTGGGCCTCTGATGAGCCTCGGTCTCGCCCACCAAGCCCAGCAGTTGTCTGGAAAAGCGTGGAGAACCAGAACTCATACCGACCCCAAGCCACAAGACCACTGGGCCCACCACTGCTTGCCCCAGCCCGGGAGGGCACAGGCGGGCTCCCTTGTGTCGCCAGTGGGTAAACTGAGGTCTGGGGGCCCTCCCCTCTCTCTACAATTTTCTCCTCCTGAAAATAGAGATGGGCCCTGAGTTGAGTTCCCAGCTTTGGCCCAAGGGGATGGGGACATGCCAGCAGCATGATGGCAGTGGGGAGGGGACTCACCCTGACAGTTTGGAGACTCGGGGCCCAAGGCACCAAGCCTCTTTCCCTGGTTGACCTGCTGCCCGGACCTGGGGCCTGGGATGAAACCCCTCCTGCCCTTCTGTGGTGCCTGCCAGCACCAGGCCCCAGGGTCTGCACTCCCTGCAAGGACCTGGGCACGTGGAGGAAGCTGAGTGTGTGGCCCAGGCCAGGAGGACCAGGGATTAGGAAACCGGACCCAGCTGGGCCAGGCCAGAGGGGACCATTGTTCACTTCCCGGTGTGGGCCTCCACCCACTGGCACAGAGCCCTGGGGAAACCCAAGGACAGCCCCAACTGCAGACCCCCGACCCTGACATGCTCCAGGGGGCCTTCGGGGCAGAGATTTTCCAGGCCAGGCTCCCCCTGCCCTGGGGGGATTGCAGGAATCCTAGCCGAGCACAAGCTGCCCAGCACAGCCCCTCCGGCCCTGAAGCCTGAGGTGGGTCCCCTGGATCTGACCCTGTGTCCCCTCTGGGCAGGCAGTGGTGGTGCCCAGGCTCGGGGGTCTGACCCTAACACCCGTCTTGGCCCGTGACAAGGTCCCAGGGAGGAGCCCTGTCTGAGCTCACAGGCAGCCCTGCAAGGGGCAGGGTGCAGAGAGCTGAACCCCATTCCTAATGGTGAGAGGGAGCTGTTCTGGGGAAGACGGTGAGGGCTCCATCAGGCCGGGGTGACTGTGGAGTCACCGGCACCCCCAAAGCGAGAGTGTCCCCGACCTCTTTGCCTCCAAGCCTCAGCCGGTCCCCACTGCCAGATTCTCAGCATCTACCGGGGTTGTGGAGGTGATGGGGACCGGGCAGGTCAGCAGCTCTGCAGCCACTCTCTTCCCATGTCCTGTATGGGTCCAAATGTGGCCCCCATTGCTGGTTACTGAAATGTCGGCCTCCAGCAAGTGCAGAGTGGGAGAATGGGCAGCCGTACTGCCCTGGGACCCCATCGCCACCCTGTGGCTTTCCCATGGGGTTCGAGGGGCCCTAGTGGAGGGAGAGAGTAGGGGCTTTGACCACTCCAAGGAAAATGCTTGTCGATTCTGCTTTCTGTGACAAGGACGTGACGGCAGTGGTGGGAATGACCACCCACCAAACGGAGGGCCAGACACGGTCCAGCCAGGAGCCGACAGCCCCAGCCCCGTGTCAGCTCCCAGCCTCAGGCCCCGGCTGGGACTCAGAGCCAGAGGCCGCATGGAGTACAGCCTCCCACACAGACAGCATCCTGGTCCCCAAAGCCTCTCCCCAGTCTGCCCACGCCCGCTGTGTTTACCCTGACAAGACACTGTTGCCAAGGGCTGCACGGAATTTGCAGTAGTGACTGTAGGGAGGAGGCAGCACAGACGTCACACGGCACCTGAAGTGACAGCCCTCCTGCTGTGTATCCACAAACCTGAGTCACCAGGAAGCCCAGTGAGGGGTAGCCATGCAGGGGTCAGAGCCACTGGAGGAAGAGGGAGAAGGGGCCACCAGAGGAAGAGGGAGAAAAGAAAGGAGGAGGAGGAAGGGGAAGAGGAAGAGGAGGCTGGGGAGGGAGGCGAGAAGAGAGAACCCTATGCTGCTGGGGGAGCCAAAGACAGCAGGTGCGTCCCCTGCACCTGTCCCGGTCGCTCAAACGGTGGCTGTGGGAGTCGGCCTGTGTGGCTGTGGCTCCAGTCTTTGGCATGGCACTGGGCTGGATGCTGCTGTGAAGAGATTTCTCAAATGTGACCCTGGCGAGGCAGGGGGCCCTGACACAATCAGTGCAGGGCCTTGAAAGACAGGGCAGACTCAGACCCCCAAGCACGGCCACTTTCTGGGCCTCCAAAGGTTCTGAGACACCTGGAGGTGTGCACGTCACCTCCCAAGGACTGCAGGGGTGAAAGGTGGGATGTAGGTGCCACTTCTGTGTGAGGGGTGGAGGGTGAGCAAGTGAGCATACAGAGGTGTTTGTTCTCAGGTGAGGGATCGAGAGAGGCCTCAACCAGGCCAGGCCTCCGATGGGCAGGCAGGCACTGGGCAGGCTCCATTGAGGAAAGGGCAGCCCAGGGCCAGGGCAATCAGGTGGATAGCTGTGCTTCAGGAGTTCAGACACCTTGGGGCACTTGCCCCTCAAGACTTGGTCCAGGTGTCACATCCTCATACTGAACACTGTCCTCACCACCCTGGCCACACTGTGTGACCCTTTCTGGCTGTCCTCCTCCGATTGCCTCAAGGGCAGCAGCCCATGTGGGTTCCCCATGGTCACCCTCACAGCAGATGCACTCAATAACTTTTTGGGCGGGTGGGTGGGTGGGTGGATGGATGGATGGATGGATGGATGGATGGATGGATGATTGGGAGGCAGGAAGGGGGAATGAATGGGTCAGTAGGTAGATGGATGGGATGGATGGATGGATCAATAAATGAGTGGGTAAATGAGTGGATGGATGGATGAATGGGTTGTTGGCTGGGTGAATGCGTGGATGAATGGAGGGGGGAGGGAGGGAGAGAAGGAGGGATGGTTAGATGGATAGATGAATGGGTGGGTGGGTGGATGAATGGATGAATGGGTCAGTGGGTGAGTGGGTGGATGGATGGATGGATGGGTGAATGGGTGGATGGATGGATGGATGGATGGATGGATGGATGGATGGATGGATGGATAGATGAATGGATGGAGGGGTGAATGGAGGGGTGGATGGATGGGAGGGAGGGATGGATGGATGAATGGGTCAGTGGGTAGGTGGATGGTAGGTGGATGGATGAGATGGATGGATGGATGGATGGATGGATGGATGGATGGATGGATAAATGAGTGGGTAAATGAGTGGATGGATGGATGAATGGGTGGTTGGCTGGGTGAATGAGTGGATGAATGGAGGGGGGAGGGAGGGAAGGAGGGATGGTTAGATGGATAGATGAATGGGTGGGTGGGTGGATGAATGGATGAATGGGTCAGTGGTGAGTGGGTGGATGGATGGATGGATGGGTGAATGGGTGGATGGATGGATAGATAGATGAATGGATGGATGGGTGAATGGAGGGGTGGATGGATGGGAGGGAGGGATGGGTGAATGGGTAAGGGAGGGATGGATGGATGGGTGGGTGAATGGAAGGATGGATGGATGGGAAGGAGGGAGGGATAGATGAATGGGTCAGTGGGTAGGTAGATGGTAGGTGGATGGATGAGATGGATGGATGGATGGATGGATGGATGGATGGATGGATGGATGGATAGATGGATAGATGAATGGATGGATGGGTGAACGGAGGGGTGGATGGATGGGAGGGGGGGATGGATGGATGGGTGGGTGAGTGGATGGATGGATGAATGGGTGAATGGAAGGATGGATGGATGGGAAGGAGGGAGGGATGGATGAATGGGTCAGTGGGTAGGTGGATGGAAGGTGGATGGATGAGATGGATGGATGGATGGATGGATGGATGGATGGATGGATGGATGGATGGATAAATGAGTGAGTAAATGAGTGGATGGATGGATGAATGGGTGGTTGGCTGGGTGAATGAGTGGATGAATGGAGGGGGGGAGAGGGAGGGAGGGAGAGAGAGATAGTTAGATGGATAGATGAATGGGTGGGTGAGTGGATGGATGGATGAATGGGTGAATGAAAGGATGGATGGATAGGAGGGAGGGAGGGAAGGATGGATGAATGGGTCAGTGGATGGGTGGATGGATGAATGGATGGATGGATAGATGGATGAATGGGTGGGTGGATGGATGGATGGATGGATGGATGGATGGATTGTATGGATAAATGAGTGGATGGATGGATGGATGGATGGATGGATGGGTGAATGGAGGGATGGATGGAAGGGAGGGATGGACGAATGGGTCAGGGAGGGATGGATGAATG